ACGTTCGTGATGCATTTATTTCCTTGAGTTCGTCTTCCTTGGCTGAGCTTCCTGCTGGGAGTGTTGTTGGCACTGCATCACTCAGAAGAAAGTCACAAATACTCCATAGATATCCATCGCTCAAGGTAATTATGTTAACTTATTCTATTCTTAGAAGAATTTGTCGAGTTGTTTAAGATACTCTTTATTGGAAAAATAACTTTACTTCTGTGGATGATCTTATCTGCGATGACTAACAGTTGAGTTGAAATGTAAAATGACCCTGTTTCTAAATAGTAGGATATAGTGATGCTGCAATGATGGACAGAGCATTCTGTCTCCAAATCCAACATACAAAACTACATCTTTATTTTCTATTCTGAGTTGGTTATTAGTCTTGATGCCATTTTGTAGTGGAGGATAATTTTCGGGGCAATGTACAAACACGGTTAAGAAAACTTAATGAAGGGGTGGTTCAAGCAACTTTATTGGCATTAGCTGGACTCAGACGTTTAAGCATGACAGAGAATGTAACCAATACTCTTTCAATTGACAAAATGCTTCCAGCTGTTGCGCAGGGAGCTATTGGAATCGCTTGTCGTAGTAATGATGGAAAAATGGTATGTATAATGTATTACCTTTGCTTGTTTTATGGCGTACCTCATGTTCTATCATATCCCACTATTGTTTTTGTGATCTGTGACCACAAAGAGCTTAATAACAGATGAACGATGCTGGTTTTGAGTTTTGATAATCAGATTAACAAGTGATGGCATAAAAAAAACCAAAATACTTGATGGAAAAAAATGCTACTGGCTTGGGAAGTGTTATTATTAGAGTTGATGATAACGTGGACTGAATTAATTTTTCCACCCATTTCTGGGTTGGAGACTCAACTGAATCTTAAAATTTGGTATTTGGACAACAGCATAAGGGAGCACCGGTTAAGGTTATCTGTTGGCATCCCAAATGATCAGGGTTCAAACCCCATTGTCGTAATTTCCCCTCCCTTATTTGTAATGGTACCAAAAAAGAAAGAAAAAACCCGGTTCTGAGAATAGAAATACTAAGGAACCGAAACTCGGAAGCTTGAGGTTTATAATGTTCTAGGACTGGGAATACTGATGCTAGAATCTTTTGTCTTCCTTTGATTTGGTTGGTTGTTGTATATAGGCCAATTACCTAGCTTCATTAAATCACGAGGAAACACGATTGGCAGTTGCATGTGAGAGGGCCTTTCTAGAGAAACTAGACGGGTCCTGTCGAACTCCTATAGCTGGATATGCTTGCAAAGACGAGGATGGCAATTGCATATTCACAGGACTTGTAGCTTCTCCTGATGGAACACGCGGTACGTCCATACACTCGAACATCTCCCTGATTTCTCTTTTATCTTATGTCTGGTATGAGAATACCATTGTTTGTTTATACGTATATGTATGTTGCAGTGCTTGAAACATCAAGGAAGGGCTCATATGTCTTCGAAGACATGGTTTTGATGGGGAAGGATGCCGGTGAAGAACTTCTTTCTAGAGTGGGTCCAGGCTTCTTTGATTCTTGAGTAATTTAGGAATAATCAAGGCTTCAGGTTCATTCATTTTCCTGAGCTTTTATTGGCCACAATATATATATAATAAGTACCATTTTCAATCTTTCCAAGCTCAGCCGTGTAGATCTTTCCTACAATTACCATTTAGAAGTTGAAACAGAAGAGATCCAAATTGGCACCCTCTTCTTTTCCAAGTTCAGCACTTGCTTTTGGGTGCATCATTAGAGCTCCTTTTAACACAATATAACTTGCTTTTGGGTTGTGAACTTCAATTGACATCTTCTGCCGATTCAATATGGACTATTTCGTTATGAATTATGTATATAGATGTGTGTTTCGGTTTACAATGCTTGATGAATGTGGAGGATACTCAGTCTAAGATCTGAGAGTAAAATCCGAAGCATATATTTTAGGTACTCTTGTGTTGTTGTTGGTAATGATTCTTGTCTAGAGCATCTGACTAATATAAGGATTAAGAAACACTTCCAGGATTCCGTTGTAGTCTAGTTGGTTAGGATACTCGGCTCTCACCCGAGAGACCCGGTTCAAGTCCTGGCAACGGAATGTTCTTCTTTTAAGAAGTATTGATGATAGTCTGCTGCAGCATTGGATTCAGCCATGCTTGTATGGATGAGGAGAGGGAAGCTTGACTGATTGATTTAAACGCTAGCGTCCTAAAAACCTCTTTACTTTTTCGATTTTCATCTAATTTACTACCTCTTCAAGACATAGGGAAAACTAAAGCCATTTATAAGCAGAAGGCAGAGGCAGAGGCAGAAAAAGAAGAATTGGAGAGTTCACTGAATTGTATTAATCGACAAACAGGCCTATGTTAACATTTCATTTCTAAACATTCTAATGGAAATATGATTCTCAAGTATGTGATTATTTGATTGTTTTAAAAAGTAAACATTGCAATGAAAAAGTGCTTGAACCCGCCGGGTCTTTCGGGTGAGATCCGAATATCCTATCCAACCAGACTTTGAAGGTCAAACATGTTTACAACTTTGAGAATCATAGAGAAAAATAATCATGGTTAAACATCATAATAATTTGTCCAAATTATATATTCAAAATTATTTTACGAAATAATTATATTAACCAAAAATATATTCAGATTAGCAATTAATATAGAAGGTGGTAGCTTTGCAGTGTACACCCTCCCCCTCAAACAGAAATTAAACTAAAATTGGGTGCGGTGCACCAGGCCCGTGCTTTACTGCAACGCTTGGGCGACGCTTGAGAGCCCCGGTAGCAAGTTACTGTAATGGACTCTCCCCTGACAGTTACTACACTTGATCTTAGCCAAAAGGCCGAGAAAGGCGTGCCTTTTACTCCCCAATCCAGCTTCTTTCAAAACTTATCAACTCAACTTCACATAAAATGCAGGCTCATATCATACTAGACTATCATTTTGCGGATTAAACATTTAAGAAAGTTAAAAAAGCAAGAGTAGTGACTTTTTCTCAAGGCTCATCGCTGACAGACAATTACCATCCGGATGCCTTCTGAAGCAGACTATGAGCAGTATACCGGTTGTTCGTCCACTAATTTTGTGATTGCCCTATAATCTTACAATGCCAGTATGGATGATAATGGGTTTCATATCGTTTCTATGCAAGCACGTGGAGAATCACGATTTAATCTGGCAGTGCAATTTCCGATGATCTTGGATTGTTCCCGAATCGGATCCGGTAAAACTTGTGTTTGGATGACATGATCAACTTTATGTATTTCAGGAAGCCTTAGGCCAAGCGAGAAAAAGTTCCATTCTTTTGTTGGAGCAGTTGAGGACACTTCCATTTCCAATGTATAATCAACCAATAAGCCAGAAAAAGGCACACATTAAAAATATATTCCGTTGCCGGGACTTGAACCCGGGTCTCTGGTGAGAGCCGAGTATCCTAACAACTAGACTACAACGGATCTTGATATAGTGAACCATGTTTTTTTTAAAAACCTTAGATACAACAATTGAGTAAAATTTAGTAAGAACATGGGCGAGTCATTTTATGCTTCTCATGAAAAATAAGTATTGCTGAAAGAGCAAAGATGTAAATCACAATTCTCGAGTTTAACAGTCCATCGATCGAGAAATTCAAGAACTGTACCCTTTGCATTTTACATAATTGCTCGAGAAATTGTCATGAGAATCAATTTCGTCCAACCAGAAATACTTTTAATTCTAATTAAATCTGGTGGTAGACTGGAGATGATTTCCGAGAGATGCTTATGTCGAAAATAGACCAGTTTCAAAGTATTGGACAAGCAAGCTGAAAAATTCCCCCACAAGCACTTTTTCATTGCAATGTTACCTTTTTAACAATCAAATTTTCACATACTTAAGGTTCATATTTCCATTAAAATATTTACATATGAAATATTAACATGGGCAAGCACTTATTGCTACCTTTATATTCAATACTTGATTTTGTTTTGTTTTTAGTGTGACTTAGGGTAAGATTACTATTCCATGTATATTGCTTCCTTGCACTTTCATGTATGAAGTGATCACAAACAGCTATCATGGCATTAATGTCATCATACAACAATACATGACATGATCACAATAGCTAAAAGGCAATTAAAGCACAACACGACACAAAAATAAAACACGGACACGAGACAAATACACAAACATGTCCCAAAACGCGAAATCTATATAACACATAGTTATAAACACATCGATGTTAATATCGATGCGAAATTCCAGCATGGTTATGCATATATATACATACATAAGCAAAACACAATACATAACGGCAGAGCCTTACCGATCTTATGAAAAGAAAAAATCTTACCATACTCCAATTGATGGCCATTCATCCAAAATTTCATAGTGTTTATACTATCCTTCTATGGTTCTATTACTTCTATATACAATGAATAAACCAAAGATTAACACCAATCATAATCGTTTTCTAATTTGTATTACTGAAATGGAACTAATTTTGAATCACGATTTGTTGAAAGTATATGGTTGTAATCAAAACACTACTCTTAACCCAAAACTAGTTATGTGCAAGAGGACAAGTCCGTGCATCTACAATCTAAATGGAAACTATGTTATAAACGTACATTTGCTATCCATTACATATACTTGAAGATGAATTGAATAGAGGTCAGCCCCGGATGAAAGTATGCTCAATTTTTTAAAGGCTCTTTCGCATGTTTGAAAATCCATATCTTCATATCCATGTTTGAATATGCAAGGAATACAATTATACAAATGTATGAAACAGATATCACAAGAAAAACCGAAAAATCCTGATTCCTGATAGCACAGAATTTAACCGAGTTATGAATATCTATTTGACAAAGGTAAATATTTAGGGTTTCGTGGAGAATCAGACTTCTATGGATATATGGACACTCATGAACATGCTTCAAACATGAGGATTCTAATAAGAACAGAAAAATATAAGCGGAATTTAATACCAATAATTCTATTTTTGGAAAATAAGAAGAAATGGAGCAATGTAGCATTCAATTTTACTCAATTATCACAAGAAATTAATTCCAGGTATTTTATAGTTCACAAATTATACAATAAATATCAAACATGCTCCCAAAGAGGGCAAATAAAAAAATGTTAAGCAACAGAAATTGTCTCCAAGAGAGAATCAACATACTCTTTAAGCTTGGCCTTTGTAATCGCACCTTCTCTCCTACTTTCTGCCACTTCCTGCCCATCCTTGAACAATATCAACGTCGGCAATCCGTAAACTTTGTATTCCTCAATCAATTGTGGATTTGCATCATGATCGATTTTCACGACCTCTAATCTATCTCCATATTCCTGAATAGATAATTAATTAATTAACTAAAGTTCTTAATTAATTAATAAATAAGTAATTTAGATGAAAAAGAAAAGAAAAGCACCTGAGCGATGGATTCCATGGCGGGAGAGATTAAGCGGCAAGGTCCGCACCAAGTGGCAACGAATTCGACGAGAACCGGACGGCTGGATTCCAACACCGTGCTCGGAAACTCGCTCTCTGTAATTTCCTTAACGCCTGCACCGCACCGAATCGAGAAATTAGGAGTCGTGGAGGAAGTAAACGGTCGTAGGAGTGGGAGGTGGTTCCTTCGGAAGCCGGCGTTGACCGGAGGAGTGGAAGAGAAGGTTGCGACGGTGGAATGTAGCTTAGATGGGGAAGCAATTGTGCGAACCGGAGAGAGGAATGACTGGACCACCACAGACGGCGAACTTGAGAGAAGCGTGTCCATTCTTTTACGGCCGGTGTTTAATGGTTAGGATTGATGAACGATAAAATTGAGAGATCACAGTGTTTTATTTTATTTAAAAAATGAATTTTATTTATTAATTTATTTGTGTGATGGAGAAATTATGGCTTTTTATCTATTTTCCAGCTTGACTGAAATCACAATTAGGGCAAACAAAATTTGATTTATTTTGAAAATTCTATTCAATGAGATTAAACTTTTATAAATTTAATTTGAATAAGAAAATTAAATAAATTTTAAACAATAAAATTTGAATCATCAACTCGAATCAAATCGATTAACTTAAATACCCATTTCTATTTTTTTCTACTCTTAATCCGTCATTCATTTTAATTTATGTTAACTTTTTATCAAATTTGAATCATATTATCCTCAAATACTATAGAACATTAATGGATATCCTTTCGTTTAGAAAAGTCACCACATTCGTGATAATCCATTATTGGAACAGTGCTCCATTCAATCGAATCAAATCAAGTGAAAAAAATTAATCTTAATTAAAATAAATAAATTCAATCCTTCATATTTAAAAAAATCATCATTTTAATATTTATTCTTCTTCTAAAGTGTGTGTTATTCTCCTAAAAATGTTACTCCTATATTTCTTTCTTGATATAGTAGCAGTTTAACAGTAACTTGCTGATGTATGACATAATTCATTTATTCAACTACTACTATGATCCATGGGCTCACTTGGCTTAATCGCAAAAAAAAAAAACTAAATTAATGAAACTGTTAAATACAAATAGTTAAACTGGTTGAAGTGTTTCACATAAAAAAATTATTGGATACATAAGTTTGAGGAACTTTATTATTATATCACATCATATTGGCGCTCGTTTCAATTTTAATTAAAATGATTTGTTTGTAACAATATTTTAATTAAGTGACTTATATATAACTTTTATCAAAAAGATGATATGTTTGTTACCAAACCAATAATTAGGTGACTTTTGATATAATTTACCCCATTCATTAAGGGTGATGTACGAGAAATTAATTAAAGAGTAAAGAACAAAAATGATCCTCCAACATTATTTTATTAAGTTATCGACTATTAAAAGTTATAAAATGATTCATTATTTATAGGATATTATTTTATTGAGTCTTCCAACTATTAAAAATTATAAAATGATCATCCAACTATTCATACTTCTCAAACTCGTATTTTTCTGTTAAAAAATTGATATTCGTTTGAGATGGACGTTATCGTATTGACTGTGATACGATAAAATTATATTTTAATGATATATACTGACATCGTTGTTACTTTTAAGAACTGACTCGATGATGTAATGTAAATGGAGACTTGATTCACAAAATATATCTCAAAACGATTCTAAGATCATATTTATCATATCTCAGTCAACAGGTTAACATCCAACTCAAAAGGTCGTTGATTTTTTATTGAAAAATGACGAATTTGGAATATATGAGTAGTTGAGTGATCATTTTGTATCTTTTAGTAGTCAATGGACTCAACAAATTAACATCTTATAGTGAGGAAATCATTTTGTAACATTTAATAATTAGAGTACTAAAAAAAATAGTGTACTAAAAAAAGTAGCATCTTATAGTCGGGGGACCATTTGAGTATTTTACCTTTAATTAAACTTAGCAGACCTTCTAGAAGCCTCCAAAAAGAGAAAAAAATCACCCTAAAAGACCCTCCTCTCAACAAATTTCATTTTCCCTCTTCAGTTCTTCCGTTCCGTCCTAAAACACATTTCTAAGCCTGAAAACATGTCGTCCGACGGGAACGTCACCGGGGGATGCGGCGGCGCTAACTCCGTCGGCGTAACCAATAAGCTTTTCTTTTGCTATCAATGCAACCGTACCGTGACGGTGACTATATCCCCGTCCTCTTCCGATCCTTCTTGTCCCATATGCAACGATGGTTTCCTCGAAGAATACGAAAGTCCAAACCCTAATCAAGTCTCCGGCTTCCCCAACCAGAATCCGAACTCAACCCCGTTCTATGACCAGTTCCTAGATCCGTTCTCTTCCTTGCTTCCGCTCCTTTTTCCTGCCGTTTCTGCTTCTTCTTCTTCATCATCGACAACAACTTCATCGTCCTCTGCTTCTGTTGACCATAATAACCCTAACTTATCTGGGCCGACCCGATCAGGTAGAGGCGACCCGTTCGCTTTCGATCCGTTTACCTTCATCCAAAATCATCTAAACGATCTGCGTTCGAGCGGGGCACGCATCGAGTTCGTGATCCAGAACAATCCGTCCGAGGCCGGATTTCGGCTTCCGGCTAACATAGGGGATTATTTCATTGGACCAGGCCTTGAGCAATTGATCCAGCAGCTGGCCGAAAATGATCCGAATCGGCATGGTCCCCCACCGGCATCTAAATCAGCTATTGAAGCGCTACCTTCGGTGAATATAACGAAGAATAATTCAAATTCGGAGCTCAACCAGTGCGCGATTTGCATGGACGAATTCGAGGAAGGGACGGAAGCGAAGCAGATGTCCTGTAAGCATCTTTATCATAAGGATTGCATATTGCCGTGGCTGGAAATGCATAATTCGTGCCCCGTGTGTCGTCACGAGTTGCCTACTGATGATCATGATTATGAGAGGAGGGCTCCAGGAGTGCGGGCGACCGGTGGAGGTAATGGCGGTGGTGATAGTGGGCAGAGGTCCGATGGGGATAATCAGCCTATCGAGAGGAGCGTTAGGATATCGCTGCCTTGGCCATTTCAAGCTGGTGAACCTGGAGTTGGTCCAGGACCAGGCAATAATACGGAGACCAGACAAGAAGATTTGGATTGAGATTTGTGTGTATATGTTTGCCCTTTTTAACAATTGTATGCATTATTATGTCCCATTTATGGTGTTGTATTGATAACATGGGGTTGCTAAAACCTGGGCACTTAGTTCAATATATCGTGCAGCGCATGTAGTGTTCAATGGCAATGCAATAAGTTCCCCAGCTAATACAGTGCAACTGGTTATCTGAGTTTTGGGTAATTTTTATTGCATGCCTTTTTATCCATTGTTTGGTATTAGTAAGTCACATGGAAATTTGGAGAAGAAAATGAGAATGCCTGCTAGGCATTAGACCATATTGAAATGCCATACATGTTATGAAGCTCTTTTAGAGCCTCAGGGCCTCGCAGCATTTGGTCAACAAATGATGCATGTAATTCATAGGAATTTAATAGGAAAGGATTAATTAAAGTGATAAAATATATACATTATGTCTTGCGGTCCTAGTTAGATTGTTTCCTTGCATTTATTATTGATTTAATTGAAACTATGATGCCTTCTTAACCATCTTATTCTTTATAAAAATATTTGAGTTTACTAAGCTAGGGCTACAATTTGAGTTTACTAAGCTAGGGCTACAATTTGAGTTTACTAGCACTTCATTTTAAATGCTCACTGTGAATACAACTGGGTCATTATCTATAAAGAGTGTAGCTGATAAATATGGCGGAAGAGATAAATACTAGTATACTACATCTTATTCTTTATAAAAATATTTGTAAAATGTCACCATTTGGAGTCACTAAGCTAGAGCTACGATTTGAGTTTACTAGCACTTCGTTTTATATGCTCACTGTGCATACAACTGAGTCATTATCTATAAAGAGTGTAGCTGATAAATATGGCGGAAGAGATAAATACTAGTATACTACATTTTTTTATTTTACGAATACATATTTAATATTAACACTTTGAGGGAAGGGAGAAGGAGAAGTCTGAACTTTCTTAAGCATAAAAAACTTCCTTGTTATGTGCTTTCCAAAATCCAAATTGTTGCTTAGATTTTGATGCGAAAATTATAAATTACAATGATAATGGAGCGGAATATATTGGTCATTCTGATTTAACTTTTCACAGAGGCATGCCCGCTAACTACGTTTGATTTCAAATAGTTTTACTTTTCTTGTTTTACATGGACAATTGCCCAATTGACTTTGGAGGGTATTATATCTGGTTAATTCCTTAATACTTCATACCTAGGTAGTGACCAACATTATGTTTTCAGCTAAAATATTAACAGGGTCCTTCAACTTTGCCACTTTATTTTATAAGTTCTTATACTTTAATTACATCCTAATAAGCATGTAATTTTTTATCCAAATAAGCCCCTAATCTTCAACCTTTTCCCAAATAAATCTCTTCAACCTTTTCCCAAATAAATCTCTTAACCTTTAACTTTTTCCTCAACAAATTCTTAATATAAATCACATTTCATATGAAATAGGAGCTTATTTAAGTACACATCAGACGATAGGGGCTTATTTGAGTACAATAAAAGTATAGGTGTATATTTAGCAAAGAAAGAAGTAAAATAATTGAAGTTTCTTTTGGTGTTTTAGCCTATATTTTCTTAGTAGTCTCTGTAAACAATGGATTCATTATGTTCTATGCTTATAGTTGGTATACGCTCCAAATAATCCAACAGATATTAGCTGTGGAAGGCTTGATGTCAGGTCTTGCTGAGTTGAGATGGCACGAACTTACATAGTAAAAGCTTGAATATGAAAGTTGGAGCTTTTACATATATGTATAATGTTCTCTAACTTGATAAAGGTAAAAATAACAGAGGCATAGAAAGATGGGGTAGTTGAAGCACTACTTGCTTTTAGAAACATTTTTAAGTAGAAACTAGAAAGTTCATAGGACCATTTGATTTTCTTCTGGAATTTTGATATCTGAATGAGGTGTTCTTCCAACATAAGAGTAGAAGTTAATTTATCTTTTGATTTAGGTAATAAAGTTAAGGAAAACATGTAAATAAGTTGTGAGAGAAAAATGGTAGTGGTGAGGGTTTCAGGGTGAGGAATAAACTATGAACTTGTTGCGCTAACATTTTATTCTTTGGAAGAAACTCCTGCCAAGTTCTGAAAGTTGAGTGACATGTTATTCCATTGCTAAGCCTTTTGAAGACACTCATGGTATTAGTCGATGGGGCTTCAAACCATTTGTATTTTATTTGGACTGATTTTTTATTTTTGAGACATCCTGTTGAAATGTTGTAAACATCTGGATACTGTCCATTTG